TTTCAGAGTGGAATTCTTCCCTCGTGGGCCAATTCCTTGGAGCTGCTCCAAATTTTGCTTCAATGAAACGAATCGTGAAAAATCTGTGAAGGAAACCATTATCTGGCAAGAGCGTTCAGGTAAGTTTCGCCGGCCAAAATCTCTATGTATTTTCTTTCACTTCTGTTTCTGATAGAGACTGGATTTTAGAGAATGGCCCGTGGCATATAATGAACAAACCATTGATTCTTAGGAGGTGGGAACCGAACCTAAAACGCTTAAACTTTGATTTGTCTAAAATCCCATCTTGGTTCACCTCTTTAACGTCCCCCTGGAAATCTTCTCACGTAAGGGTCTGAGCTATATTGCGAGTGGCATAGGCCCTCCCCTTTCTATGGACTCGATTACTGCTGCAAAATCCCACCTCGAATTTGCTAAGGTATGTATCGAACTAGGGGTCTCTGATATTATTCCTAACTACATTGAAGTAATCCTTAACGATGGTCATTCTGTCTCGGTTAAAGTTGAGGTCCCTTGGCTCCTCCCCGTTGTCGTTCCTGTAAAACCTTTGGTCACTCTGACAAGGGATGCAAGGAACCAAAAATTCATCCCTCTGCTAAACCTCAAATTTAGAGAAAAAAGGAAGGTCCCCCTAATACTTCCGAGGTCGAACCAGCTGTTGGGGGTATCGAAATGCTGCAAGAAAAAGAAATTCCCCTCAACTTGTCTGTTGCTAAGGAAATTGTTGTTCATAGTGATTCTTCTAGTAAAATAGTCGAACAGGAAACTTTAAAGCCTCCTGATGGTGATCTAAATAGTGCAGAATTGGTTACTGAGAATTCTGAAAATTTGCTGCCAAATACTGATCCTTTACCCTCTTCTACTAATAAAGGTGAAAATTCTATTGAGGTAAAAAAAAAGGCAGAGGCAGACCCACCAAAGATAAAGCCAAAACTTCCTTGTCTGCTTCTTCTAACCGCTTCGAAATCCTTACTGGAGCTGATGAATCCATTCCAACCACTGAAGTACATTCTCGAAAGCCTCGTACTTCTTCTTTAGGTGTCTCTGCCATTATTAATGAATTAAAATCTAAAAAGAAAGAAAAAGCAGGGTCAGTTAAAATCAGTCCATCAGGTACCATAGGGATAACCCCTGATGCTCATTCTCAATGATAATTGGTATTTGGAATGTTAGAGGACTGAACTGTCCTCAAAAACAAGGTAATGTTCTTAAAAGAGCTCTCCAAAATAAAATTGATATCCTTTGTTTGCTTGAGACTAGAGTTAAACGTGATAAAGCTGTAATATTTTAAGTAGGAAATTCAGTGATTGGAAAGCTTGTTCCAATTACTATGCAGATAACGGTAGAATTTGGATTTTATGGAAAATGGTTTGAACTTCTCTGTTATTCATTCCTCTGATCAGTGTATTTCCATCAAGGGCTTTCATGCTGGCACCCCCTGGTCATTACTGTGTGTATGGCAGTAACGATGGTATTGTGAGAAGGTCTCTTTGGCATAACCTTAAAGATCTTGATACCATTATAGGTCAAACCCCCTGGATCCTAGGGGGAGACTTCAATGTTACCCTTCACCCTCATGAGAGCTCTGACTCTGAGATTCTTGGTCCTATTGTTTCTTCCGATATGAGGGACTTCCAAGAAGTTTTCTCTGACCTTGATTTTATTGATCATCTGTTCTATGGTCCTAATTTCACATGGAGCAACAAACAAAGGTTCTCTTTCCTTGCTAGAAAGCTCGACAGAGTCCTTATTAATCCGTATTGGGTTAATAACTTCAACTCTTCTAATGTTGAATTCCTCGCTCCTGGTGTCTCTGATCACTGCTTGGCGTTAATCTGGCTTTCCAAAGAACTCCAAATTAATAGACCTAAGCCCTTTAAATTCTTTAATTTCTAGACTCAACATCCTTCTTTCTTATCTGTGGTCAATCGATCTTGGAACAGCCCAGCTTATGGTAACCCGATGCAGATTCTGCTCTCTAAATTAAAGCGTCTCAAAAATAACCTCAGACACCTTAACCATTCTTTCTATAGTGACCTTACCGCAGGGTGAATCTGAAGAAATCTGAACTTGAATTCCAGCAGATTAATTCTTTAAGAGGTAAGGACACTATCGATAAGGTAATCCAACTCCAGTCTGAGCTTAAGAGCCTGGAAGAAGCGGAATTTTTGTTCCTTAGACAAAAACTAAGGTTTTATGGCTTAAGGAGGGGATAAGTGTTCCAAGTTTTTTCACTCTGCTGTTGCCCGCAAACATAAACGTGATACTATTCGAATTCTAATTGACGATCAAGGCAATAGGCTGGAATCTTTTGACTCAATGTCTAATGAGGTCCTTAATTACTTTTCTAAGCTGCTGGGTTCTAAAGATCTTGAGGTGAATGCTCCTGACCCTAGCACGTTACATAACTTCCTTCATGTCCCTTCGACTTCGGATAGATTTGATAACCTCGTTAAGGAAATTTCTAACGAGGAAATCAAAGATGCTTTCTTTTGCCAAGGTAATAACAAAGCTCCTGGCCCTGATGGCTACTCCTTTGTTCTTTAAAAAAGTCTAGCCTATCATCAGTGAGGATGTGTATTCACTATGAAACAATTCTTCCATGATTCCTCTCTTCTTCCTGCTTTCAATGCAACTATTATTGCTCTTGTGCCTAAAACTCCAAACCCTAGTACTCTTAAAGACTTTAGACCTATCTCTTGTTGCTCGGTTTTCTACAAAGCCATCTCTAAGATCCTAGTAAATAGGCTCACTTCCTTTATTCCTGAAATGATCACTCTGAACCAAACAACTTTTGTTAAAGGCAGAAGTATTGTCGATAACACTCTTCTTGCCCAAGAACTGGTTAGAGGTTACAACAGGAAATCAATTTCCCGTCGTTGTTCTCTAAAAATCGATCTTCATAAAGCCTTTGACTCTCTTAATTGGGATTTCATTTCTGCTATGTTGAAAGCCATGGGCCTTCCTACTACTTTTCTTAACTGGAGTGAAACTTTCTTTTCTACAGCTCGTTATTCTGTTTCTTTCAATGGTAGTTTAATTGGCTATTTTAAGGGTGCTAAGGGTATTAGACAGGGAGACCCTTTATCCCCTCATTTATTTATTCTCTCTATGAATGTTCTCTCTAATCTCTTAAACCTTGCTGCTGCTAAGAACATCTTTGGTTATCACCCTAAATGTAAAAGAATTGGGCTCACGCATCTATCCTTTGTTGATGATCTCCTAGTCTTCTGCAAAGGGTCTGTCGATTCGATTCTTGGGGTAACTAGTGTTCTTGACTTGTTTTATAAAATGTCTGGCCTTAGACTTAACGCCTAAATGCGAGTTATTTACGGCTGGCATGAACTTTCCTACTCTTGAAAACATCACTCTTCTCACTGGGTTTAAAATTGGTTCTCTTCCTATTAGGTATCTTGGCATCCCTTTAGTCACTAGAAAAGTCTCCCAAAAGGATTGTGGCCCTCATTGACAACATTAAGGCGCGGCTGTGTTTGGTCTACTAAAAATCTTAGTTATGCGGGTAGGTTGGAATTAATCAGAGCTGTCTTATTTAGCATCAGTAGCTACTGGTGTAGACAATGTTTCTGCCTAACTCTGTTCTTAAAAGAATTGAACAAATATGCTCTCGGTTCTTCTGGAAGGAGATGACAGACCCGCTTCTGGTGCCGTGTTGGATGGAATAACATTTGCTTATGAAATCTGAGGGAGGGCTCGGTATTAAAGATCTCCAGACCTGGAACAAAGCTTGTATGCTTCTTCTTATCAAAAAAATCCTTGCTGGAGAAGGCTCTCTATGGGTCGCTTGGATTAACTGTTATGTGCTTAAGGGAAGTAATTTCTGGAATGCAGAAATTAGCTCAACGTCCAGCTGGAGCTTAAGGAAACTTTTTAATATGAGGGATGAGGCTAGTACTACATTGTCTGCTTCTTCATTCTCGGTGAGAACTATGGGATGCTATCCGGGTTAAGAGACCCCTTGTTATTTGGCAGAAAATCATTTGGTTTCCCTTCCATATTCCTAAACTTAGCTTGATTTCTTGGATGGCTTTACTTGATCGTCTCCCTACTAAAGATAGACTCCTTCGTATGGGGCTTATCAATGATTGCCAATGCATGTTTTGCGATGATCCGCTCGAAACTAGGGATCATTTGTTCCTTTACTGTCCTATGGCTAACTTCTTGTGGAGTTCTATATTTTCTATTTCAGGTCTTCGATTTTGCACTCGTCCTTGGGAATCTTTTATTGCTTGGGCTTGCTCTTATTGGAAAGGAAAATCTTTACTTACTACTATAATGAAGCTTGCTCTCAATGCTATGATTTACTTTATTTGGGAAGAAAGAAACAAGAGACTTTTTCAAGGGCGATCCAGAAACGAGCAAGATATGTTCCGCCTCATCAAGGATACTGTTCGTTGTCAACTTAGCGATAGAAATTTAAATAGCTTTGACACTGTAAATTCCAACCTGTGCAAGCATTGGGACATTGTCTGATTTGACTCTTTTTGTTTGTTGATTGTCCTGATGCTTTCTTTTCCTAAGTTTTGTATTTGGTTTGTTCTTGGGTAATAAAATATTTAAATTATCCACACAAAAAAAAAGTTTGAATTGGGATGAATTAATGGAATTATTTAAAATTGAGTCAAAATAGACTGCCTTCATGTTATATGTACCTATCGACTGATCAGAGAAATGGAATTATTTAAAGCGTTAGTATTTTAAATACTATAAAATCTAATTCCATATACGTGTCATGTTCTGCAGGGATGCGTATATTGCTTTATACTTTAAAGCCTTCACCAACTTTTCATTGTTTGTTTCACGAGAAAATTCAACAAATTATTAGTCAGAAAGACTGCTAAGTAATCTACTCATGACTCAACTTCTGTCAAACTAAATATATTAAGATAATGTTTTAGAGGCACCAACATTGAAGGAGAGAGTAGAAAGAAAATGGACCTTTCTCAGTATATTTGCATATTTTATACTTCAAATATAGTAAAAATATCTTCAATTTACGTTGTCTTTTTTGACTTTAATGATCAATCTTCTATCTATAAATACATGCATCAATTGCATACTTACTCTCATCCCGAATCTCTGTTTTTAACCTTATAAACAGTAGGCAAAGGCAGCAAACCAATCTTTGTGTTATTTGCTTCCAAGAACCCTACTCCTTCCCTTCAAGATATCTTTGATAATGGCTTCAACACAAGTTTCACAAGTTGCTGCTTCATCCCTTCCCGTCATTCCAACGGACACTGAAAACCGGCCCAAGGCCGACTTTCATCCCGGCATTTGGGGTGATATGTTCATCAATGTCCCAATATGGTAATCTATAATTTCTTTTATTCTTTTTACAAATTTCTTTATCTATCTTTGAGTTTTGTTTGCTGAGATTTGATTGTCCTACTTGAGCAGGATATTGATGCTGCAACTGAATTACAATTCGAAGAATTGAAAGAGCAAGTGAGGAAGATGATTGTGGGACCCGTTGATGATTTGAACCAAAAGCTGGCCTTCATTGATGCAGTTCAAAGATTGGGTGTAAGTTATCATTTCGAGAAAGAGATTGACGATGAACTTGAGAATATTTACCATGACATGAAGAGCGATGATGTTGAGTATGATCTCTACACCACGGCTCTTCGATTCCGATTACTAAGACAACATGGCTACCGTGTTTCCTGCGGTAATTTAGTCTTGAACTTTCATACTTTTAAGATTATTGAACCGTAATTCGTAATTATCAACACACAAAAAACTTAGAAATATAAATATATTGATGTATTGATGATGACTTGGGGTGGTGGAGCAGAGGCATTCAACATGTTCAAGGATGTGGAAGGGAATTTCAAGGCATCACCGGCGAGTGATGTGCGAGGATTGTTGGAACTTTACGAAGCTTCCCATATGAGGATCCAAGGGGATGATATACTTGAGGAAGCCATTTCTTTCACCAAAGCTCAACTTACCCTCTCATTACCAGCATTAGACCATCCACTGTCGGAACAGGTCGATCACGCCTTAAAGCAGTCGATCCGAAGGGGGTTGCCGAGGGTTGAGGCCCGGAAATTCATTTCCGTATATGAAGACATCGAATCCCATAACAAAGCACTGCTTCAGTTCGCAAAGATTGATTTCAACTTGCTGCAACTTTTGCATAGGAAAGAGCTAAGTGAGATCTGTAGGTAAGTTTTGCTATGAAGCCTAACCCTTTATTCATAAATCATCCTGTTGTTGTTTAGTTTTCTATTTCTTACAATGAATTGAAAGCCAGATTTTTATGATTCTTTGAAGGTGGTGGAAGGATTTGGACTTTACAAGAAAGCTGCCATTTGCAAGAGACAGAGTGGTGGAAGGGTATTTTTGGATTATGGGAGTTTACTTTGAACCCCAATACTCTCTTGGGAGAAAGTTTTTGACAAAAGTCATAGCAATGGCTTCCATTGTGGATGACACATATGATTCATTCGCAACATATGATGAACTCATTCCCTATACAGATGCAATTGAAAGGTTGGATTTCTTGCATTATAAGTTAACATTCATTTTGTGATATTTAAATCCTAGACTTGTCGGATATTATGACCGAATGAAGCGTTGGGTTTGAAATTAATTTTCACATTGTGTTTCAGGGGGATCTTAAATGCATGGATCAACTCCCGGAGTACATGCAAATAAGCTACAAGGCACTGTTGGACGTTTATGAAGAAATGGAACAATTATTGGTAGATCAAGAGAGGCAATACCGAGTCGAGTACGCTAGAAAAGCGGTAAGTAACAATACGATCATGTTGGAAAAAATGTAAAAAATTCGATAATAATTATATTGTGAACTTGATGCTCTCAACCATCAGATGATACGCCTTGCTCAAGCTTACCTTTTGGAGGCGAAATGGACACATCTAAACTATAAACCAACGTTCGAGGAGTTTAGAGATAATGCATTGCCGACCTCCGGCTATGCCATGCTTGCCATCACGGCGTTCGTCGGGATGGGCGATGTTATAACCCCCGAGACCTTCAAATGGGCAGCCAATGACCCTAAGATCATCAAAGCCTCCACCATTATTTGCAGGTTCATGGACGACATTGCTGAACACAAGGTATACTTGCTATATACCCACCCACATTCCTAGATTCTAAACTTTTGGGGTATGCATTTGCTAAATGAAGACATGTCCCATATGGGTGCAGTTCAACCACAGGAGAGAAGACGATTGCTCGGCCATCGAGTGTTACATGGAACAGTACGGCGTGACGGCGCAAGAAGCATACGATGAATTCAACAAACACATCGAGAGTTCATGGAAAGACGTAAACGAAGAGTTCTTGAAACCGACGGAAATGCCGACACCGGTTCTTTCCCGGAGTCTCAACCTTGCGAGGGTTATGGATGTGCTTTACAGAGAAGGCGATGGTTACACGCATGTTGGGAAAGCTGCTAAAGGAGGGATCACTTCTTTGTTGATCGATGCAATCCCACTTTGAACATTCAAAATTTGACCTCTCTTCTCAAGATGATTTTCTACCAACTACTATTCATAAAGTTTGTACTGAACTGAAAAGAAAAGTCTAAATTTATAATTTGTTTTTTTTATGTACAAAGGAATGAAGAAATCAATACTCTTTGTTCTTTGCACTTTTCAATGCAATAAAATTATTTTTCATCCATTTTTCTTTACGTGCAATATTTGTTTTAATTTTATTTTTTAATAGCTAAAACACATGCACCATTCATTTTGTTATGGGTGAGCAAAACTCGACTCTACTCGACTAAAAAAATCAAATTTCTTTTCAATTAGAGTTATTCGAGTTGAGTTATCGCCGTGCATTTTTTGAGTTCGAGTTAAGTTAAAATTTGAAAATTTCGTGTTACTCAAAAAATTAAAATTTTGGCTAACTATTTTGATATTTTTACGGTTTAGACTCTGATTTCCTTATTCATTCTATTTCTCCTTCATTTTAAGTCATTTCTTATACCAAATTTGAATCACATGCTCTTAAACCATCTTAGAATACCTATGTGCGTTAGATTCCTCTTTTTGATACCAATTTTTTTATTTTTAATTTAATTCCTCATTTTTTTCATAACTTCCTTATTTCTTCAATTCATCATTCATTTTATGTCCATTTTCATCAAAATTGAACCACATGCTCTTATACCACTATAGAATATCTATGTAACTTCAATTCCTATTTATCAATTCGTATTTGGTATTTTGACTATAACTATTTACAAATTCTTCTTCCCATCAATTCCTTTCCTCTATACTCTCATCAACATTTTACGCTCAAAATATATTCTTTAAAATAAATATTGTAATATTTTATAATTTTAGATTACATTTGATATATTAAATAATATTATAATGTGAAAAGAATCGAAAAGAAATCGGAAAATTGAAAAATCTTTATCATAATACTATAAATAATTATAATAAAATTTGTATAGAAACTTTGAATTTTTCTTAAATTCTACTTGACTTAAAAAAATTTCAAGTTAAGTTTGAATCACAAAATACGACTCATCAACTCGAATAACTCAAAAAATTTGACTTAATTCGACCTAATTCTCACCCTGCCTATAGCATATGAAAACTGCCTTTGGATTTTCGCCGCATTCTTTAGATTTACTGAATGAAATATTCAACACAATTCCTTAATTTCCAAAGCTTTTTGAAAGAAAAAAAATCTATTAAACGAGTCTCTAGAATTTCCAAGGCATTGAATGATTGATTACACAGCCAAATTTGTTAATTAACTTTAGTAAACATAAAATAGCTTTTAAATTACAATTTTTTTTATTAAAGATACAAAATAAGACCATATAAGTATTTTTAATTACTCAATCAATTAACAAATCTCTTTTAAATTACATTTTTAATATATCACAAAAACAATTTTTTTATATTATAATAGTGTAACGCCCCAAATCCCGGGTTAATAGTTCGAGTCAACTCGAAACCCATATTTTGAGCACAAATGAACCATTAGAATAGTTTAGACCAAGTTTAGTGATAGTGGACTTGAGTTGTTGCCCAAGATAGTTAAAGAAGAGTGATGAGTATTTTATGAAATAAAAGAAGAGGGACCAAAAGTACAATTTAACCATTATTCAAATTAAAAGCTGAAACCCCTATTTTATGTCTTGTTACGTGGACCACTCCCCCTATTAGTTCACCAAACACTCTTCTCTTCTTGATCTCATATTTCTTTCTTCTCCTTCCTCCTTAAAGTGAAAGTTTCAAGGATTTAAGCCTAGTTGAGTTTAGATAAGGTAACATGGTAATCTTCAATCAAAGAGCTTCAATTTAAGCCCTATTTCTCAAGTTTTACACTTAGTTTTCAAAAATGGGTTTATGGGAGGTTTAAGAGAATTTATGGATTCTAGCTTGTTTTTAGCAGATTCAAGTTATAAAAAGTGTTCTTAACCTTAATTCAACCACCTAGTTAAGTTAATAATTCATTTCTTTACCTTTGATTAGTGAAAGAAGTGATAGAGAACTCAAAGGCAAGAGGAAAAGAGAAGTTGTCCCTTGGGTGATTTGAGGGCATTTCTAGTAGCCAAGAATTCAAGGTAACACATTTACAACTTCTTTATACCAATTTTGGGTAACTAGAAATGCATTCTAGCTTAAGAGTTGAGTTAAAGCATACTGAGTAGTTTTCATGGTATTTTTGTAAGAGTAACTCGGGTGTTATGATGTTTCCCAAGCATCAAACAAGACCAGTTTTATGTAAACCTAGCTATTATGTTTCTACGGTTCTTATATTATTATTATTTTGCTTGAATCTTATTTTTATATTAGTATTACCGGTCTATTATAATTGGATTATTATCTGTTTGTTGGATATTGACCTCGACTAACCTTGGTATCGATACCCACCTGCTAGTATCGATACCCCTTGACTGACGTGGTAGTTTCTAGAAGGTCCAGTCAGCAACAGTTTCTAGAAGACTTCCTCCGCACGCCTTCTGGAAGACGGACGAGCTTAGTTACATTAGGAGACTATTTTAAGTTTGAATTTAAATTAAAAAAAAAATTATCTTTAGGATTATTTTATTTTATTTTCTTTGTTTACCTTAGGCTTTGAGAGGCTATAAATACCCACTTGGGGTAAGCCTAAACTCATAACTCAAATTACAATCTTCTTTTCTCTCTAGTTTATTAAAGCTTTCTCTTTCTACTTTTCAAGTTTTCATTTTCTTTTATTTTCAAGCTTTGTTTTTAATATGCTAAGTATGACTTTTGTCATGCTTAGCTAAATTTTTCATAAGTCGAGAGTTGAAGCGATGACTCAATTCTAACGCGAGAATTGAAACAGACCCTTAATCTTCAGAATATCTCTCTCAATCTCTGCGCTTATTTTTCAAAATCAAAACAGTTTTCAAAATCAAAGATAGACTTTGGTCTAGATTGTTGTTGCGATTAAACATGTGGGAGGAAGATTCGGCTTATTGAAAGCACATTCGACTTCCTGGGAACACACTTGATGAGAAGCTTCGCCAAGAGGGATTTTAGATCGGAATTGACGGTTATATAAGAAACAATCTGAGTCGGTCGCCACAAATTTAAACGGTAATTGATCTACGACAATTGATGTTGTTAGAATCAATTTTCGAAGCCGGAATCAAAGATTGCCTTGGGTATTCGGTACAAGATAGAGTCACGGGGATTGCCCTTGTAGACAAAGTAACCTACGTGAATCCCGAAGGGAAAATCTAATTCAATGATCAAAGGGGAATTGAGTCAAAGCAAGGCTTGAGGTTACTTTTACCGTATTT